CACATATCACACACACATACATGCACATATCTCACACACATATACATACACATATCACATACACATGCATGCACATATCACACACATATTATACACATACACACACACATACACAAAGATGTGAAGCAGAGACAGTGGCACAATTTCCCATTTGGGCAGTGGAAGAAGAAAGATCAAGAGTCCAACAACAGCTAAGGCTGTCTAGCTATGTAAGATCCTGTCTCAAAAGAAAGAAAAAGAAAGAAAGAAAGAAAGAAAGAAAGAAAGAAAGAAAGAAAGAAAGAAAGAAAGAAAGAAAGAAAGAAGGAAGGAAGGAAGGAAGGAAGGAAGGAAGGGAGGGAGGGAGGGAGGAAGGAAGCCAAACCATACAAAAATGAAGGTGCAGCCAGGTATGGCAGCAAATACCCATAACTCAGTACATGGGTGGCCGAGACATGATGATTACAAGTTTGAGGCCAACCTGGACTATATAAAGAGAACATCTCAAAACAAAAACAAATAGACCATAACAATGAGTAAGCATATGGTCAGTGACCCAACCTCAGCCCCCACACTGAGAAACAAGAATAAAGGCCAAGTAAGCCCACCACAGACGGGAACAAGAAAGGCCAGAACGAAAAACCAAAGTCAAGGATTTTCAGGGATATTGTGAGGCCACACCCACAGCAGTACTATCCACAGTAATGAGTAGACGCAGCCTCGCTGTGCACTGAGAAGCCATAAAAGGCATATCAGTTCAGTGGGATACCACCCGGCCTTAAAAAGAAATGACAGCCCATGACATGACATCGATGAGACACGTGATCTTCCTGTCTCAGACTCCGCAGTACAGGGGTGGGTCACCATGTCTCACTTACATATTAATTATTTTGACCTGCTGTATAACATTTCACTTGAAACATGGGTTTATAAAGATTCAGTCGCCCCTAAGAACCCCAGCTGGCTCAGGAGTCAGGTAGTGAGGGTCCAGAGAGCAAAGTGACCCAGCAGCTGCTTGTGGTCAGTGAAGGGTGGACAGCACCCAACCAAATCCCCTCCATCCAGCTCCCAGCAGGGATGGGGGGTGCTCTCTTCATGGTGGTGTCCAAGAGAAGAGACTGCTGTCAGACAGCCTGTAACAAGCATTTTCACCCTGCCAGGCCCTGCCAGGTACGTTTCCTGCCTTAGCTCACTGTATCCAGGTGTTAGTTACAGTCCTCCTTTGCCTTATCCCAACCCTGCCTCTACTACTGAGGCAGGCAGGGAGATTCCGGGCTTCGGGGAGTCCCAGATACCGTCAAGTTTGGGAACAAATCAGAACAGACAGCCTCAGACAGTTCATCTAGGTTGCACGGTGCACAGGTCTCAGATGGGTGTGGCCCAGGTACTCATGAAAGCACCAAGTACCAAGGTCTATAGCTCTCACTTGTCCCGCTGCCAATGGGCCCCTCCTCCCTCATCTGCCATAGAGCTGAGGGACAATGATCAATGTGAAGAGAAGCCGGTGTCAGCGCTGAGCTGGAAACTGAGGGACCCTCTATCCAGTGATCGGAAGACTCTCACCTGCCTGTGTGAAAATCCTGCTTCCTCCCCTAAGCAGCTCAATTTCTGCGTGAGTTTCTCCCTTGCTCAAAGTACTCATCCCAGTCTCCCAGAAGGAGGCTTGCGGGAGCCTGACACACAGGCAGTCACCCGCAGTACATGAAAGGCTGCCAGAGCACATTTGGCACAGGGTCTGTCTCCTCCTCAATGTGACTGGGTCTTGCTTGCCCATTTCCCAAGCTGCCCATGGGTAGGGTAGTTCCTGAGGTATCCTGAACTGCTGCATGTTGGAGCACTTAGCTGGGGAGGAGTGGCCAGCCTCTGAGTCCTTATCTGTTGCCCAATCAGAGAGCCCTGGGGGATGAGGGAAGCTTAACCTCCAGTAAAGTCACAGGATTCCAAGGGCCTCTGGCTCACTGTCCCCATGGAAGTGTGGGGGATGCCATCACTGGTGAGCTCCCACCTTGTAGGGTTCCAGTAGTGGATCACACATGTCACCACAGAGGTGGACCTGGCACGTGGGTATAGGGTGGGCCTAGGGATCTGCTTCTCTACCAAGTTCCCTGGAACTATTAACAGAGCTGTGTCGGGGCTAGATTTGAAGCAGCAAAGACCCAAAGCCTGGCACAGGCCTCCCTGAGAAATGCCTAGGATGCAATGGTGGCAAGCCCATCCCGGCTCCCCACCCAGCTCCACTCTGGTTTCTAACATCCGGAGGGCAATACTACATAGCTCTTCAGAATTGATGGGATTCCATTTCCATTGCGTATATAAAATAAATCCAGCACTACGTTATTAAATTTAAAAAAACGGAAAATGTGAAGACGAAAGTAGGGGAATCACTGATAAGCTCACATCGCACTAAAAAAGATGGCAACTCTCTTCTCTCCCCAGGATCCTGTATCTGTCAGGGAGTCAGTCACCCAGGGAGTGGCACTGGCTTCAGACGCCTTGCTTCATTACAGCAAAGCACAGGGGACAGAATGGGGCTGCCTCCAGCCCCCTGGGGCTGCCCCCAATCCCTCCATCTCCCAGCCCTGCACCCTGAGAGGGATGCCTTTACCTATTCAGGGGCACAAATAGGCAAGGACCCTCATCCTTCCTTGCTCTAGGCAGAGGAGGCAGTGGTGGGTCTGAGGGAGGGGGTGCACATCTGGATTCCTGGCCAGGAGCCCACATTCCTTCCTGGTGAGTGTGAGCAGATGGGGCCTCCAGAGAGTTATGAAGAGGCTGCTGGCTGCCTCCTGCCCCCACTATAACAGGATCCACTCTGCAGGAACACGTGTGGGACCCGAGGGGCCAGACCCTCACGTGAGGGCCTGGTTTAGGTCCAGAATCCCCCGTGCAGATTGTTGAGCAAGCTCCATGGGCCCAAGTGAGATCTGTACCCCTCTACCTCAGAAAGCCTTGTCTTACTTAACAGTACCATGGAAACAGAAGGCCCCAGAGAGAGACCATGGTGCCCATCTACCCAGAGACCCAGCCGGAAAGGAAGCTCGGGAGAGCCCAGTTGGGTTGAGTTGCCTTACCTGAGGGCAATCCTTAATGTAGTGTCCTTTGTTGAAACACAGGTGACACAGGTAGTTCGGAGGAGGCCGCTTGCTGGGCTTGCGGGCTTCGGAGGTGAGTGTCAGGTCTGAGAAATGCTCCGTGAGGGAGCTGAGGCCATCAGCGATGTTGTTGAGGGAGCCGTAGGGTGAACCATTCCTATACACACTGCTGCTCAGCGCCTGTGGGAACAGAGGCTATTCAGGGCTGTGGCAAAGGGGGCTTTCAGTCACCACCCTGCATGGTGACTAAAGCCCGAGTTCAAATCTTAACTCTAGTTGTGGTTTTGGCCTCAGGGCCCTGCCTATTCTGTGGGAACATGAGAGTGATTCCCTAAGGCTTCCATAAGGGTAAAGGGAGGTCATGAGTCTAAAGTTCTTCGTCACGTGTCTGGTCACTAGGACCCCTGGGCACGCGGTGATGATGTTAACAGCTGCGAGTGTTGTTACTATCAATTCTTGACACACTATACCAGATGTGGAGGAGGTTAATACTCTTGACAGAACCTAGAATCACTTAGGAGATAAATCTCTCAGCGTGTCTGTGAGGGCGCTTCTAGACTGGGTTAAGCAACTTGGGGAAAGCTACCCTAACTGTGGGAGGCACCATTCCATGGGCCGGGGTTCTGAACTCAACACAAAGGCAAGTGGGGTTCACAACAGTTTTTACTCCCCTCTCTTTTCCAATTGCACTCACACTGTGGTCATCAGCCCCAGGCTCCTGATGGCACCACCTCCCTGTCTTGATGGACGGTACCCTCTGACAGTGAGCTAAAGTACAGCCTTCCTTCCTTAAGTTGCTTTTATCTGATATTTTGCCACAGAAATGAGAAAAGTGACTAATACAGACGGCCTCATGGGAAGCCACTTGTTGGGTATGGAGAGACTTCAGACACATCTCTGTTGACTCTATTTCCCACCTAGTAAGGAGTCTTGGGGGCTCGCAGTGTGGCTACCATTTTTAAGAACTGGAGGTGGATGCACAGAGAAGCCCAGCCTGCCTGAGCTACCTCTCTGAGAGCTAGAGGGGAGCCGGCTACCTCTCCTACCTCCACATGACAGGAACCAGACACCGCACTGAGCTCCCTAGCAGACACAGCTCAGGCCCTCCTGGTGTACACAGCCTCTGTTTATAGGCATCACAGGCTCTGCGTGGCATGGCACACTGGAATTTGGTAAAGGTGGGGCCTGTGGTGGGGCTGGCAAGGAATGGCCAAGGGCTCCCCTTTCTTAGTGAAGAGCCAAGGCTAGAAAGCAGCAGCTTCTCTGGGAAAGTCAGTAGTGAGCCTGGACACAATGGCTGGAGTCCTCTGAGCTCACTCCAGATGCCCCAGATGGCAGGGATAAGCTCTGGCCCTGGGCTGATGGGGAGATAAGGCACTGCTTCCAGGAGTCCTTAGGCTGATAGAGAAACAAGGTTCCTGGAACCAAGAGCTTAGGCTCCTTTCTAAAGGGCCGGGCAGGAGCCTAGAGTGGAGGCAATCCTCTGTCTCTTCAGTGTGGGGAGGAAAGAGAAAAGAACTGACAGCAGTCTAGGGCATGGGGTACAGCATGCCCAACTCCTACAAGAGTAGCTTCTAATCTCACATTTCCATCTTCAGAAACTGATCACCCAGCTCTGAGAGGACCCAGCCCTCATCTTCCAGATAAGACAGTCCCTTGGACACCTGCTGGGTGACCCTGAAGTGGCCCTTTCCTTCTCTGGGCTCTATCCATCTTACATTCTTTTAACCAGGGCCTGGGTGTGGAAGAACACAGACACAGTACCTGGAGTTGCCCAGGGCTAGCATACAGTTTTCCTGCAGTGCAGGAATCACATGGATCTTTAGCCCTCTGGCGCAACAAGAAACCCAAGACAGAGCACTCCAGGACCAGCCTGCATGTGGGCTGAACCAACTCTAACTAGGGCAAGCTCAGAATGGAGTGGCTCCCTGAGGGCAAAAGCCCCCATCCTGGAGGCAACGAGATTACAGGGTCACTTTCTGAAGTTCAGAAGGACATCCAACAAGGTGACCATGGTGACAGGCCAAACCCTAGGAACAGTGCACTTACTGAGACAGCTGCTTCTCGTCATACCCCCGTGAGTCACTACCCACTACTTCACACATGAAATGAGTATTCAAAACTTGCACTGAATGACTTGGAAACTAGCAACAAAAAAAAAAAAAACCAGTTTTCTGGGCTCCACCTCAGGGTCAACACAACAGTGGCTTGGGACCAAGAGCATATTTTTGTGTGTGATCAAATATCTATAATGACAGATACCAGTTTAATGACTTTAAAGTGTTCAGTTCCATGACGCTGAGCATATCCTCACTAAGACACAGCAGACACCACCACCTACCTCCAGAGTCCTCCACCGCCCCAAACCCAAACTCTGAACCCACCGGACAGTCATTCCTGACAGGAATCTGCTTTGCCATTCCCGCCCCACTCCCACCCTGGAAAATTTGGGCAGCAGCAGCTGCTTTACTGGCCTCAGAGCACCAACTCCTGGGTCATTCTACGTCTTGACTGGGAGACCTGTCCTGTGCCAGAAAGCCACTGGCTCCATCATCCCTAACTGGCCTGACTGAGGGCGACACAGCCCTGGCCTCTTAGAGAGAAGTTTATCCAAACAAGAAATCTGAAGCTCCAAACCCCGTGACTCATGCTCGCGGCTGGGAAATGCAATTTCACAAAATAACAACCCTCTTCTCTTCCCCCCTCTTCCTTTCTTTCATTTTTGCTGGATAGGATTTAAACAAGTCCACAGCCTTCAAGACTGTTTTAAGAGGAAGGGGAAGTTTGGTGGATGCCAAAGCTACACACTAATTACACCCTAAATAGTTCTCCCCAGGGTTGTGGCCATACTCCTAGACTCACGACAGACCCTCAGGCATCCTCAAACAGCCAAAGGCCTCCCACCCCCTCCTTGGCAGCTCATTACTCCCAGATGCCACCAAGGGTCACAGATAAGGCTTCCCTAATAGATCCATGGACAGAGGAAGGCTAATGTACCCCTCCCAGAATCCTGGCCTCCACTGTCCCAAAGTCTGTCTTCGTAACTGCTGCAGCTTTCTACCTCGAGCACCAGCCCAAGACAAACACCACTCAGAACTAAGAATCTAAGAGGACTCCGACGGTTCAACCGCATTCCCATGCTATTAGTAGAGAAACCGAGGTTCTGAGAGCTGCAGAGGCTCAGACCCAGTAGGAACGGAGAGCCAAGAGTCCAACTTGCCTGGTCAGGGCGGGCTGGGCAGGTCAGAAAGCCATTTCCTCTGCAAAGCCATATTTGAGCACGGGCCACAGAGGTGAAAGGTAAGTCCTGGCTGTTTTCTAGCCTGCAGGGGCTGGGCAGAGTGCAAGTTGGGCCTTCTCTCTTAGAACAGATGGGAGATAAGGCAAACTTGATTGTCCCTGCAGGTACGCCATTGCTGAATTCTGACACTCGGATTCTGTAAGGTACCCTAGTCCGGGCATATAAAGGGTAATCAGCAATCTACTACCCTGCAGGGCCAGCAAGCAGAACAGAGATGCATGCATTCTGAAGGCCCTGCTCTCCAAGGAAGAGCAGCATCACTATGTGATGGATGTAAACCTCCAGACTACACCACATCCTGTATCAAAGATCCCAGAAGCTCATAGGAAACATGGGATCCTTCTAACACATGTGGGGAGACATAGCATCAGACTCATGGTTGTTGCTGGAATCTTCTCCATGGTTCTTGAGGGTCTGACTGGAAAAAGTAGATTAGAAGACTCTGGTTTTCTCTGACCACTAGTTGTTCTTGTACACTCTACAGAATCTTTTCTTTTTCTTCGTTCCCCTTGACTGCTAAGACACCATGTATCTAAGCACCGATCTCATTTTTGTAGAACTGGAAACTAAGACTCAAAAAGACTTAGTAATTTGCCCAAGGCAACAAAGTCAAAATGTGTTGACCACTTATATTTCACCCACACACAGCCTCTAAGGTCCAGCTCCACCTATTAAAAAAAAAAAAAAGACCCAGAGGACGACATCAGGTGTGACATCATATGTAAAGCCCCTTGGTGCTAAGGAAGATGTGCTTCCAGCTTCTTTGCTCTCTGTGAAGGGCTGGAATCTGGGGAAGGCAGTTCTGCTGTGGACTCTGAAGGGCAGAGGCATAGGGTAGCAAGGCTGTGTCCCACTCTCCCCAGAAAAGCCTGCCCAGCTAGACTCTCCTGCAGGGCTATCACAAGGTACCACAGGCAAGAGAGGAACTGCAGGCACTGTGCCAGTGGGCACACTTCTGAGAGTGGCACAGACGGAGTGGAAGTCTGAACCATAAAGACCGTTCAGGCAGGACTAGCAGGGTAGCATGTGGAAATGAGACAGCCTCTGCCAGGAACGACTCGGCCATGGGCAAGGACAATGGCGAGGGTGATGCTCAGGGCCAGGCCAGGTCCTCAGGGAGATCAGGCAGACACAGATGCTCTATGTCCTGCTCTCTAACCCAAGACAGTATTAGAGGAAAGAGCTTGATTCTAGCCCCAAGTGCTATGGGGTTCCTTTCATCAGCCACACAGCTATCTTCTTATCTCCTAAACCCACCCAACCCCTCACCTCTTCACCCAACACACACACACACACACACACACACACACACACACACACACACACCAATAAGAAACCATTCACATCACCAGTGACCACACCCCTTCTTCCAAGAGATCCGTACCTCTGTCCCTGGGGCCCACCTAGAATGGCACACGTATTCACCCTCTGCACACAGACAAGAGGGTGCACACTGGGTTGGTGTGTAGGAGATAGTACACGCAGGTAAGAAGTGGGCCACAGGAAAACGAAGCACACCATAACTGAGGGCTTCCCTGTCACACCCAGTTCTGCCCATGTTCCTGTTTCCAGGGCCAGGAACACATGGACTTGCTAAGACAGATCATGACCTTTTGCCAGTAGGAATATTGCTCACACTTCACATAGAAAATAGTTCTCCCTCCAAAGCTGATGGTCAATGAAAGATCCTAGACTAACCAATGGTCATGTCTAGTTATTTTAGATAAAGGAAGTGGGCAGAGAGAAATGGGGACCAGGGATTGGGAGAGTAGACAGTCTAGCCTAGCAGACCTAGAGCCAAGGGAAGACCATCTCCACCTCGGTTTCTTGGCCCCCAACCCAGGGTCACCACTCACTTGGTGGTGCTCATGGGTCATGG